AGAGTTGGAGTTTCTAGTGGGTTCTCTGGTCCTTTCTAATCTTTGTTGCTTTTGGTATTTTTTTATTTATATATATGTATTTTCATCTTTTCTCCCCTCAGAGTCCCTCTTAAAATTTCTTGTAGGGCTGGTTTAGTGGTCACAAACTCCTTTAATTTTTGTTTGTCTGGGGAACTTTTTATCTCTCTTGCTATTTTGAATGATAGCCTTGCTGGATAAAGAATTCTTGGCAGCATGTTTTTCTGATTCAACACACTGAATATATCCTGCCACTCCTTTCTGGTCTGCCAAGTTTCTGTGGATAGGTCTGCTGCAAACCTGATCTGTCTTCCCTTGTATGTTAGGGACTTTTTTTCCCTTGCTGCTTTCATGATTCTCTCCTTGCCTGAGTATTTTGTGAATTTGACTATGATATGCCTTGTTGATGGTAGGTTTTTGTTGAATCTAATGGGGGTCCTCTGTGCTTCCTGGATTTTGATGTCTGTGTCTTTCCCCAGGTTAGGAGTTTTCCACTATGATTTGCTCACATGACCCTTCTACCCCTATCTTTTTCTCTTTCTCTTCTGGGACCCCTATGATTCTGATGTTCCTTTTTAATGAGTCACTGATTTCTCTAATACTTAAATCGTGCTCTTCTGCCTTAATCTCCCTCTTTTTTTCTGCTTCATTATTCTCTATAAGTTTGTCCTCTATATCACTGATTCTCTGTTCTGCCTCATCGATCCTTGCCACCGCTGCATCCATCCGTGATTGCAGCTCAGTTATAGCATTTTTAATTTCATTCTGGCTATTTTTTACTTCTTTTATCTCTGCAGAAAGGGATTCTAATCTATTTTCGACTCCAGCTAGTATTCTTATCGTGATTCTAAATTCTGGTTCAGACATCTTGCTTGTATCTGTGTTGGTTAAATCCTTGGCTGTCGTTTCTTCATGCTCTTTCTTTTGGGATGAATTCCTGCTGACTTCTGTAGTTCAGGTTGTGCCGATTGTTGTGTTAATCCTCCAATCAGTTTTCTAGGTGTGTCGGATGGTTTAGTGTTGTTCTGGCTGTATTTCATGGATGCGAGACACACAAAAAACTTCCATGCTGTTCTGCCATCTTGGCTCCTCTCCATATTTTTTTCAAGTTGAAATTATTTCAATTTTTACATAATTGTAGTTAGAGGAGGCATTTATTTAGTTATGTAACAAAGTTTTGGGTACTTTTAACCAAAATATCTTTGTACAAATTTTATTGTATGTGTCTATCACTGTATAATAAAATAAAATCTTCCCTATTTGCAACTGTATATTTTGCACTGCATTTGGTGTTAAACACATACAAATGCTGACTGAACTCAATATTACTTGATTGCTTTGAGATAATGCTTGGTCTAACATGGTAGATGTGTTTATAGCTGAGAGTAAAGTAAATGAGAAATTATGTGTTACATATAGCCTGCTGTGGCCTCATTCTTTTCTGTATGATTTTTAATTTTACAGTTTTATCTATTATTGCAGGCATATAAGTGCTTATAATATCACAATTAAACACCTTTCCACTTTGTTCTATCCTTATTTTTAAATGAGGGGAATACCAAATTAGAAATATATGCTTTGCATCATTTTTTGCACATGCCCTTTTTGGAAGTGAAAAGAAAAAAATAGAATATAATTGACCTACATAAATCACTATAGTTGTGTGAAGGCTGAAGTAAAACCAGGCTTATACCATAGTATAAGTTCCTGAAGTAGCTATAGCTAGAAATTTAAAATAAACCTGTTACGTGAGATGATGTCTTTATAAAATTAGGTGCTAGAGTATATTTGGTTTTGAGCAGTCAGACTTTAAATGATGCATACTTTAAATTACCTTTTTTAATATAATTAGTATTCATTTTAAAATGGTGGAATTTTTTTTCCCAGTTTTGCAAATCTGGTGTGTGTGTATATATATATATATATATACGTATATATATACATATATATATATACGTATATATATACATATATATATACGTATATATATACGTATATATATATACGTATATATATATATACGTATATATATATATGTATATATATATACGTATATATATATATACATATATATACATATATATATACATACATGTATATATACATACATACACACACACACACACACACACACGTTGGTGTGTGGTTTAATGTTTCATTGCAGTATAGAAGGGGAGATGCTAAAGCAGGTGAGAAGATCTTTATTCAGAAATGTGCTCAGTGCCACACAGTGGAAAAAGGTGGAAAACACAAGACTGGTCCAAATCTCTGGGGCTTTTCTGGCCCTGGACGAAAAACAGGACAAGCACCAGGATTTTCTTTTTCCGATGCTAACAAAAACAGAGAGAAAAACTAGGCAGTTGTGGCAGAGAACTAGAAACTTTGTAGCAAAGAGAAAAGACATGATTTGATAGAATTCTCTAGTTTGCTGCATTAAAAATAAAATCATCATGTTTATATTACTGAAATACTGGTTTATATCATAAGATCTGTGTTTAGATACCTGGTTTCTTTTTGATCACACAGGTTTTTACCTATACAAGGTATTTCATTTTATGCAGTACATCCATGTTGAAAAGCATGAGCTAAATTAAAAAGATCAAACCATATTTTAATGGCATAATGGTAGTTTTCTATTTGTAGTAGTGATTTCTATTTGTAGTAGTGGGAGGATGTTATAAAATAGTTTGAAAAAGTATATTCCGTGATTTCTTTGTTGGTGGAAAGTGGGTGGATGGCAGTTAACATGAGAAAGCATTTTAGGGTTAAAATTAAAAATGGTTAGAAAAGACTATAATATCTTTGCAAAGAAATTTGTTATTCCCAGATATATGTGTACATACATACATATCATTAACATTCACCTCAAAAATAGGGTATAACTCGAAATAGACTGTAACTCTTTTTTGAATTGTTCTTGGAGGCTTGCAATTTCTTACTGGCCCAAATTTCAGATCAGTACAACACTACTATTTGGAAAGGTTTTTATTTTATTTTGTTTTTGTTCCTTTTTATTATTTTTATTGAGGTGAAATTCACATAACATTAGCCATTTTTAAAATTTATTTATTTTTATTTTAGAGAGAGAGCTTGCACAAGTCAGGGAGAGGGGCAGAAGGTGAGAGAGAGAATCTTAAGCAGGCTCCATGCTCAGCACAGAGCCTGACCCCAGGCTCAATCCCATGACCATGGGATCACGACCTTAGCCAACATCAAGAGTCAAATCCTCAACCAACTGAGCCACCCAGGTGCCCCAACATTAGTCTTTTAATTAATTAATTAATTTATGTTTGTTTATTTTTTGCGAGAGAGGGAGAGATAGAACGTGAGTGGGGAGGGACAGAGAGAGAGGGAGACAGAGGATCCAAGGTGGGCACTATAGTAGTGCTGATAGCAGTGAGCCAGATGCAGGGCTCAAACTTACAAACTGCGAGATCATGACCTGAGCCGAAGTCAGACACTTAACTGACTGAGTCACGAGACGCCCCAACATTAGCTATTTTAAAGTGTACAAGTCAGTAACATTTAGGGTATCACAATATTGTGTAATCAACACCTCTTTGTAGTTTCAAAACTTTTTCATTACTTCAGAAGAGCTCCTGTACCCATTAATCACTCCCCATTTTCTCCTACCCTTAATCAACCTCTAATCTGCCTCCTATTTGTATGGATTTGCCTATTCTGCATAGTCTTAAAAAAGAAATCATAAAATATGAGCTTTTGTATCTGGCTTCTTTCACTTGGCATGTTTTCAAGGTTCATTGAAGTTGTAGCATGTATCAGTGCTTCATTCCTTTCTGTGGCTAATCATATTCCATTGAATGTATATATCACAATTTGTTTATCCATGTATCAGTTGATGAACATTTGGATTGTTTCCACCTTTTGCCTATTGTGATAGTGTTGCTATGAATATTTGTGAATAAGCATTTGTTTGAGTCCCTGTTTTCAGTTCTTTTGGATATGTATATGTATATGTATATGTATATGTATATGTATATGGTGGGTCATTTGTTAAATCTATATTTAACTTTTTGAGGAAATACCAAATTGTTTTCCACAGTAGCTTTGCCATTTTTACATTCCCATCAGTAATGTAGGATTCCTGTTTCTCTATATCCTCTCCAATGCTTGTTCTTTTCTTTTCTTTTTAAAATTGCCATCTTAGGGGCACCTGGGTGGCTCAGTTGGTTAAGCTTTCAGCTTGGCTCAGGTCATGATCTCGTGGTTTGTGAGTTCGAGCCCCACGTCGGGCTCTGTGCTGACAGCTTGGAGCCTGGAGCCTGCTTTGGATTCTGAGTCTCCATCTCTCTCTACCCCTCCCCACTGTGCTCTGTCTCTCTCTGTCTATAAAAAATAAGTAAAATGAAAAAAAATAAATAAAATTGCCATCCTAGTGGGTGTGAAGTGGTATCTCACAATTTTGCTTTGCATTTTGTTAATGAATGATGATGTTGAACATGTGTTAACGTGCTTTGTTAAAAAGAAAACCACAGACCCAAAATGGAGTCACTTGTGGTAGGCACAGGACACCAAACCATGGCTTAGTACCTAACCTAATTGTAGTTTCAACCTTTGCCAGAATGTAATCTTAACCAGTTAGTCTGGAATTTCCTGGTGGGCACTGGTAAGGTAATCCACCTGGTTTGTTCCCCAAAAGGAGGTGACCTTGCCTGAAATAATTCTTCCTTGTTGTTGTTATGACTTCCTTTTCCTGCCTTTAAAAACCTTTCCCTTTCTGTTGCCCTTTGTACTCCTTTCTACATGCTGCCTGATTCATAAATCATTGAATAAAAGCCAATTTGATCCTTAAATTCACTCAGTTGAAATTTTTCTGTTTAACAACTTGTTGGCCATTTGTATATTTGGAAAAATGTGTATTCATGTCCTCTGCCTATTTTTTATTTGAAGTGTTTGTCTTTTTTCTTGTAAGAGTTCTTTATGTATTCTGGATACTAAACCCTCATCGAATAGGAGATTTTCAAATATTTTCTTTTATTCTGTAGTTTGTTTTCATTTGGTTGATAAGGTCCTTTGATGCACAGAAGTTTTTAATTTGCATAAAGTCCATTTATCTATTTTTTTGTTGGTATTTTCTTGGTACCAAATCTACGAATCTATCACCAAATCTAAGGTCCTACTAAAGATTTACCCTTGTGTATTCTTCAAATACTTTTATAGTTTTGGCTCATATATTTAGATTGTTGACCCATATTCATTTGATTTTTGATAGTGAGGAAATAGTTCAATTTCTTTCTTTTTCATGTGATTATCTAGTTATCCCAACTCCATTTCTTGAAAGATGATTATTTCCCAGTTGAGTGGTCTTGATACCCTTGTTGAAAAACAGACTGGCCATATATGTTGGGGCTTGCTGCTGCATATTCAATTCTATTTTTATTACTGTTTTTATTACTGTAGTTTTGTAGTAAGTTTTGAAATTAGGAAGTGTTGAGCCCTCCAGCTGTGTTTTTCTTTTTTGATATTATTTTAACTGTTCAGGGCCTTTTGCAATTCTGTGAATTTGCAGATCACCTTCCTCCTTTCTGCAAAAATTTTGGAATTTTTGATAGAGATTGCATTGTGTCTATAGATTGTTTTGGGGGTATTGCCATTTTAGCAACACTAATGTTCCAATGTATGAACATGGGATGACTTTCCATTTATTTAGGTCTCCTTTCATTTCTTTAAGCAATGTTTTGTAATTTTCAGTGTATGAGTCTTTCACTTCCTGGGTTAAATTTTTCCTAAGTATTTTATCATTTTAGAAACTATTATAAATAACATTGTTTTCTTAATTTTCTTTTTGAATTGTTCATTGCTTGTATATAAAACACAACTGACCTTTGTATGTTGACCTTGCACCCTGCTTTGCTGAATTTGTGGCTCCTTTGGGATTTTCTATATTTAGAATCATATCATCTGTGAATAGAAGTGGTTTTACTTCTTCCTTTCCAATTTGGATGGCTGTTATTTCTTATTATTCCCTAATTGCTCAGGCTAGGACTTCTAGTGGAATTCTGAGTAGAACTGGTAAAACTGTTCCTGATCTTAGAGGGAAAGTTTTTAGCTTTTCACCTTGGGTATGATATTATCTGGGGGTTTCCAAAAATCCCTGTTTTCATGTTAGGCAAGTTATCTTTTATTCTTAGTTTACAGAGTGTTTATGTCATGAAAGAATATTAGAGTTTGTCAATTTTTTTTTCTGCAGGTATTGAAACAATCATCTATTCTTTTTCCTTTTGCTCTATTAATGTGTTATGCTAAGGTAATTGATTTTCTTATATTGAATCATCCTTGCATTCCTGGGATAAATCCCATTTGGCCATAGTGTATAATTCTTTTAATGTGAGGTGGATTTAGTTTCCTAGTATTTTGTTGAGGATTTTTGCATTAGTGATAAGAGTTACTGGTTTGTAGTTTTCTTGTGGTGTCTTTGTCTGGCTTTGGTGTTTGGAGAAGTTTAAAATACAGATTATTGCGGGGCGCCTGGGTGGCGCAGTCGGTTAAGCGTCCGACTTCAGCCAGGTCACGATCTCGCGGTCCACGAGTTCGAGCCCCGCGTCAGGCTCTGGGCTGGTGGCTCGGAGCCTGGAGCCTGTTTCCGATTCTGTGTCTCCCCTCTCTCTCTGCCCCTCCCCCGTTCATGCTCTGTCTCTGTCTGTCCCATAAATAAATAAAAACGGAGAAAAAAAATTAAAAAAAAATAAAATAAAATACAGATTATTGCAACTGTAAGTACTCTTCGTACATGATTTGAATTTGGTATTTTAAAATTTCTTAATGGGTTTTATAGTGCTTGTATTGTGCTTATTTGATTGAGCTTTGTGGACTATATTGTAGGAGAAGGGTTTAAAGAGAGGAGTTGGCGTTTTGTGCACAATGTTTTTTGTTTGCACATGTAATAGCTTAATTTTGTCAAAAGAGGGATTTTGCTTATTTTAACCTATGTTAATATTTCTAGTAAGATAGTGTCTTGGGTTGGTCTTAGCCTATCTATAGTGATGTTATTGACTAGAAATGCCTGGGGACACTCACCTGGGCCCATACTACTTGTAGTGAGCCCCTACAGACATCTCCCCAGCCAAAGTTGGTAATGTGGCTGGACCAGGCCTTGTGGTTCTTATTATGATGGCAAGACACACCTCATTAGCAACTATCAGGGAACTTTGAAAAGACAAGATTTATTACTCACAAGTCCTGGAGGTTGGATTGGATGCCTGGGACCACCCAGTGAGGTTGAGAGGAGAGAGAGCACGCGAGAGAAACAGAGTGAGAGCAAGCTAGTGAGCAGGTCTAGCGTTCTGCTTTTATTGGAGTCAAGGGTGGGGTGCCTAGGGTTT